AGATTCCAGCGAGATAAGCTTTGTTTTGTCGGCTTTCTTCATTTCTCTGTTAATGTTTATAATGACAATCTACCAATTTGGCAACATTAAATGCTTTGATTACAAGTTTCTGTAAGTTAAACCGAAGCCAAAAATTAACCCTCTTTTGACTAAGGAGGCAAACGTTTAGCACTCCGGATAACTCTATTTGTTCAGGTATGTTTTGAGAATAATTCTTTCTATCTGATGTCGCATAATAACGTATTCGTTTCTTCAATATAAAAGGGTTACATATTTTAAATGAAGATATGATCGTGGCGGTGGTAATAACGATTTAAGCAATTGAAAATTATAATGAAAAAAACCTGTTTCGGGACTTCAACAAGATTCAAACCCATGGCCTCTGCGTTAGCGCTTTACATGCTCTAACCAAGTGAGCTATGAAGACCCATACATTAGGAACAGGCCAATTTGTTGAGTTCATAAAAAAAGGCATCATGTTGAGAAAGTTACTTGTAAAGCTTTGTAGTTCGCCAAAAATAAAAATGTCAAGAATTCAGTTCTCAAAATGTCGAGGGCCCTATGTTTTTATACTGAGCAAAAATCATCGACCTACTTCTATATCCTTTCCTGGCAAGAGTCATATAACTTGTAGGTTCATTTTAAAGTAAACTTCCAAAGGCAGGCATTCGTTTAGGGTGGACGGCCACGGCTGAAATCTTTATTTGTAAAGTTTTTCCCGGAGAGTCCTCTCAATACTAAAATCAGTTTGCATAATTTCCTGAGCAATCTCAAGTTGAGTTACATCCGAACTACCCCGCCGGTAAAGACAATTAACCTGCGATCAGGCGGGCCTTCTTCCCTATAGCCATAACTTCCCAGCAATATACACTAAGGTATGCGGATCATTTCATTTCGTTAGCAATTTTCTTGAGATTGTTTTACTGATAACAATCTGGCTTGAGAGGTATGGAGGCCGATCGAAAGAGTTCTTTGATTCAGCGTTCACGGAGCAGGGTATGTTTTATACGCCAGTGTTCACCGACCCTTAGAAAACGTGAAAATGTATCCTGTCAGTGGCTTATGATCCCTGGATTGTCTTTTCCTCTAAAGAAGACAGTTGAAAATATAAAAGCAATGAATACAAAACATATAATTACTGAGATAACTCTCAGTGGCTTCAGTAGCTTTCAATGAAACATACCGTCTGGATCTGTGGACACACTGACAGTTGCATTCGAGTTCACCAGATAGGTGGAGTTAGGTTAGATAAATCAGATTTGTGAATAATATGTTACATCTGGGTGTATATATATATTGATGCTGGCTTTGAAAAGATTAATTTAAGTAAAACAACCATTACTGCCGAAGAGGGTACGTTCTCACGTTATCACTGCCAAGCACATGCGTCGCCCTGGGGCCTCGGACAGCGAGGTTGACAGACTTGCTGCTAATATTATTCCAGTTTCGTGGAAACGTGGCATGTGCCGTTTAATGTCCATTAATCTATACAATACAATACATTGTTTCCACAATAGGGTAGAGAGCCATTGCGTGTTTGATGAATATTCAGTTATTGGTGTTTCAATTGCACACATCGCGTGCCCAGCATGTAGTATAAATCTCATAAGTAACTCATTTCTCCGCATTCCCTCATTTTTCAGACTGCAATACTTTCAAAAATACTGGGTCAGTTGTCACCAAATGACTGAAGAAATTGTGTTCTTCCGACTCAAAACATTCTGACAATGAAAATCTACGCATTTGCTAACATCCTGGTTATTTGGATCGTAAATAGACATTGTACAAAAGGTACGTAACCACAGCATGCTTTTCAATGCGTTTTAATGTTTTCTTTCAGTTAAAGTTAAAAGTCTCCCCTACGTGTCTTTGTGCGCTGCGCAAGTTATGACATAATAACACCAACGGGATGAAATCCAAGGTGAAATCTGCTTAAAAATCAGTGGTGTTCATAACAAACATAATTTAGGTATTATATAATAAAAGTGGACCTTAAGTTAAATCAGTTAATTGCTCTCCTGGAAATGCAAAAGTATATTTTTTAAAACTGATACTTAACACTGCATGAAAATTCTACTGTGTCCTGACACGGGGCTAACAAACACTGAGCCCACAGAGGCACAGAAAAGACAGTCCAGTAAACTTGACTCGTTAGATGACTTTGACAAGCTTTACGTTGTAATTCGATTGTAATGTTATTAACAGGCTGATAAGGCATTGTTTCTATCGTATAATATAAAAAGAGCTTAATATACCATTCTTTCTCATTGCGCGTAATCGGTTGTCGGATGTTTACATAATAGCTTTACCTCCGATCGATCTTGAGCTGTTTGTTTTTATAACCCTCCTTAACGAATGGAGGTAATCTAACTAAAAATATCAAGAGCTCATTCTAAGTTGTTGTTTCCTTTGACGTAAGTGAAAGGCTGAACTAAAAAGCCCAGCTTGAATTAATGCAGTTGGATATTTCATGGTGCGGGTTTTTTGACCAAATAATTCTCTGTATAATACACAACTAATTACACAAAAACCCCTCTAGTTTTAAACTTTAAGCCGGGGGAGAATAAAGCAGATGTAAACATTCAGTAGATCGAAATTGAACGAAAAAGCTCGTTATGACCTCTTTAAAATAACTAACATCCTAAGCTGATTGTTAAACAGACTGATACATGCTGAAAGATGTTCTCAAAGTAATTCTGGGCTAAATGTTTGTAATTTTTTATTGAACAGAAAGTCAAGTAGTCATTAAACAATTAAAAAATGTTTTTGTAACCAACTGTTGTTCATGACCTCCCAGCGGGTGACGTGGTTCTTCGACAATGCTTTTCCATTCTTTAACACCTGCATTCAACAGTAAAAAGCCTTCGCAGTGTGCGAATTTCAAGCAGAGAAAAAATAGCGTGCACCCACAAGGAACCATTGAATAACTTTTAAAATGTTAACAAGAAATTAAGAAAGCCCAGTACATCACTGAGGGGGTTTAATGACTAGCTGACAGTTGTCGATGAAGAACGATGGGTCTTTAATCTTCTCATGAGTTCTTTGTTGTGAAAAATGCGCTTTTCTAATTATTTCTAAGTAGGAGACCATAAGACACTGATAAGACGATTTTATCCCGGGGGGAGGGTACTCCCTACAATGACCTATACGCCGGAGCCGGGGAGCCCCGCCCGAAAGGGGTACCTTTTTCAGACCTCAGGTATATTAGTCTGCTACACAGTCGTTGTTAGTGTCGTCACGTAACAGTCCTCCCCACAAAACGGCTGCGTAGCAGACTACAGGTATATGAAAGGGAAGGGATTTCACTGAGCCCGCGAAAACGCGCGAAACGTCCCCAGCGGCGAGGAGAAACGGATGTTTTCGCAGGCTAGGATTTCACCAGTTGAAGTCTATGAAAGGGTAGGGGAATCTGTCATTTTAGTCTGTAAAAATGTTTAAGTCCTAAAAGGGCTGAGAGACGAATTTTATGGCTGTGAAAAGCTAATTACCCTGCGAGCAGAAGCCACGCGAACGAGTTCGTAAACGCTACAAGCCATACAAGAGAGTAAAACCTCTGCTCGCAGGGTAAAAACTAATAGAAAACGTTCTGGTTTAGGATTTTATCTGGTATACAAAGTTCTAAACTAGGTCAGTGAAAGGGGTACCATTTGTCAATGGAAAGTATAGGAAAGCCGGGTCCTGGAAAGGGGTACCTTATATGTCAAAAATGGCAAAAAAGGGTAAGGGTTGGAATTTTGGGGTGGAGCCTCCCCGTAACTGTGAGTACCCCCGGAGTTTTTATACAGTCAGCTGCTTCGACTTCTGAAAGATTTCTAACCTACAAAGCTATCTTTGCACGGCCAAACAGTATCAGTTCTTACAGTAGATACCGCTACCACTTAACCCGTTTTATGAAGCCAAGCGAGTTGGAGGCAAAAACGTTGAATCAAGTAAGGAAAGCATTTTTCGTTCTCCAATAACATCAAATCTAAAACTAACAAACTATGAACAACTTTGAATACAATTACCCGCTTCAAAAACTCTAGGTAGAATGGGTACAAGCTTTAGCTGCGGTGACTTCTGGGATCGTTCGGGTGGACATGCGTAGTTATGATTGGTCGATGGTATTCAAGGCAACTATTAACCAGTCAAAAATAACGTTTGTCCTTCCAAACGTCCCCTAAAAATCGTTGCACCGAAAGCTTCTTCTCACTCCCCTTATGGTTTCTGGAATGGGGAATATCAAAACCTTTGGTTTATGGAGGAAGGGGTAGTATATAGTATGCATGGGGTTCACATCTGCCTGACAAAATCTGACCCATAGTGTTTAAGACAGCGTTTGGTACGCATTTTGAGTAATCCATGATCTCAAAAAACGGCTATTTGTTATTTTTTTACTGCAACCGTCAAAACTGCAGATTAATAGTAACCGTCAAAAAGTTTCAGGGTACAGTGAATACACAAAAAGTTCGGCGTCTGAATCAATTGAGAACCCCCTGTTTCACTTTGGCCTGGCCCGGCCGGGAATAATTTTTGACTATGAAACGGCTTTGATTCAGACGCCGAACTTTTCATGTAACGAACCTAATGTGAACCTAATGTGACCGGAATGAGCAATTTATAAACCGGTTCACGGTTTGGGCAGATGATATAAGCGAAATTCAGGACTGGTAATTTCGTCCCAGAATCGCGTTTACCATTTGCTCAAATCAGTTCCATTTACTGAAAAACAGGCGCGAAAGCCCGAAACTGGTATCAAAGATGGGTTCTAACAAATGGACCACGAATTTCAGTTTAGAATATTCCGTCCGGAAAAACAGGACTACCATTTCAGATGTTTCGTTGCTCTCAAAAATAATCCCCTGGAACGACACGAAAAGCCGTGTTCCATTCAGTTTTCAACCGGATTTTTCGGAATTTTTTGTAAATGGTAAACAAGTGAACCTAAATTTCTCTAACAACTGAACATCAAAATTGTGATTATCTAACTAAAATATCAAGTGAAAATCGCTCTTTTCATCCTTGCAGCTGCACATGAATCAACAGAACAGACTCTAATTAATGACCTGATGAGAGGATACAACAAAGACGCGCATCCGATCCCAGAACAGAACAAAAGTATATACGCTGTGACATTTGGGTTGGAACTGGTCCAGCTCGTTAACGTGGTAAGTCACTTCAAATCAGTTTCAGTAGGGAAACCCACATATCTCAGCTACTGATAAAAAATCCCGTTATATTGCTGTAAACTGATTGAAATTCCGAGTGAAAGGAAAATTAGTGGTACGACTAGTCTCGTACGCAGATCTCCCAGAGTAAGACAGAGTGAGACATGGGTACGACATTAATGAATGGCCAATTCTGTCTCGTTTATCCTTCAATCCTGCCATCTTGACTCTTAAGGCTTCATGTTCTATACGCGATTTCCTACAGCGTCTTTTAAAATTTTCATGAAAAATTTTTTTAAAAAATCTCCCTAATTTCTGTGATAACAAGTAAATTTTTAACTTAATTTTATTTTTAGGACGACAAAAATCAGATCATAACTACCAATGTGTGGGTAAGACAGGTACGTACGTAATGTATAACAAATCATAAAGTGTGTTATCTTATCAGCGTTAGTTTCATCCTGTTATTAATTCTGGATCGAATGTATACATTCCTTGTATATACCAATTACCTGTTACAAGAGAGAATGATCTCTCTTGCCCGTTAGTAATGTTGGCATATGGACTTGTGCCCAGCACGGTACAATTCGGTACGATTCGAAATCGTTGGAATGCTGGCCAACCGATCGGTGAACTGACGTACTGATTTGCTGACCAATTGACCTACATGCTGACTCACTGACCTATACTCCACTGACCAACTAACTGTGGGGTCACTTATTGACCGACTGACCGACGGACGTTTTGACAGAGTGACTGGCTAACTTACTGACTCGATCACTGATTGACTGACTGACCGACTAAAAACTGACTCACAGGGTGACCGACAGACGTACTGACACTTTCACCCTCACTGTTTTGAGAATCATACTTGGTCTTACTTATTTGTCAGAAATGGAGGAATCTTCTTCTAACCTGGCAGCCGGAGAAGTACGGAGGCATCAAACGAGTCCGCATTGAGCCAACTCTGATTTGGATACCTGATATCGTACTCTACAACAAGTCAGTAAATCCCTTATTTACTCAGTCGTTACTGTAACAGCTCAGAGGCGGATCCATAAAATTCAGAATGGGGTGACCGAGACACTTGCCAGCTATATAGATACTATTTATTTCACCGAGAATTCTTTACAAATAATGCGAAATAGGCCCTTTGTAGCTAGCTATTCACGTGGTACAAAACCGCCACGCTGGAGAGCAAAAGTCGCACTGGGACAAGACAAACAAAAGACATACATAATTTGAAATGGTAATTTTCTTTGTTTGTCTTGTCCCAGTGCGACTTTTGCTCTCCAGCACGGCAGTTTTGAACCACGTGAATGGCTAGCTGCAAAGGGGCTATTTCACAGAAAAAGGGGTGGGCGTGGTCCCCTCGGCCAGCCCCTAAAATCCGCCCATGTAGCTAGCATTTGACGGGGAATACGAGAGATACAAAAATGTATCTACTTGGGAAAAATTCCTCTGTACAATTCAAATTGTAAGCTAGTTCCATTATCTATCTTGAATATTTCTGGACTACAATTTTCTCTCATAAAGCATAGTTATTTAATAACGTCACTCTTAATTAGCACCTTGCCCTTACTTGGTTTGATACCTTACCTTGCAGTGCGGACAATGAGTTCGGCGGTGGACTTGAAAAATACAAGACCCGTGTCATTATTGATCACGAGGGCTGGTGTGCATGGTACACGCCAACCTCGTTTCGGAGCACGTGTCCAATTGACGTCACGCACTTTCCCTTTGACAAGCAAACGTGCATGATGAAGTTTGGCTCGTGGACGTTTGAGGTTGTCGACCTCGACATTAACGCGGACGACGCTCCCCTTCATTCCACCCAGTATGTTAAAAGTGCCGAGTGGGATCTTCTGGGGGCCTCTAAGAAACGGAACGTCGAAAAATACGCTTGTTGCGATCACCCGTTTTCAGATGTCACCATAACTTTCGTGTTCAAACGGAAGCCCTTGTTTTACATCTTCAACTTAATAGTGCCTTGTACGATAATCATGTCCATGGTGCTGTTGGGATTTTTTGTGCCTCCGGAATCCGGAGAGCGAATTACACTCAGTATAACAGTGTTACTTGCAATGGCGGTGTTTCTTCAACTTGCCGCAGAGAATCTACCGCGTAACTCGGAAAACGTACCTGTATTGGGGATCTTCTACATCACAGTTATGATTGAAGTGGCTTCCTCCTTGGTGGCCACGTGTTACATCTTGCATGTCCACCATAGGAATTCTGGGACGGCTGTAGTTCCAGTTCCCGGATGGGTCAATGCTTACATACTGCGCAAGCTGGGGAGATACTTGGGCGTCAAGAAACCTGTAACAGAAGACAAATACGATTTGTCAGCAGAGAACGATTTTAAGAGAATTTCTTTGATGAAAAGAGACCTAGAAAAGAGACTCGGAAATAGCACCAGCAAAAACAAGTTGAAAAACAAACTATTGCCGGATGTGTCATCCGGCGAATCAACTTTAAGGCCGACTCTAGGTTCTCCCGAAGAATTTAACATGAGTTCTTCTGTATACTCAGTTTCAAGCACGCTTCCGACTATCGACCTCCCCCAGGGGAAAGATGATAGTGGCAGCGGGGACAGCAACAGCGCTAAGACCGCGCAAGGAGTGATGGTATTGGTTGACAGTGTAAAGCATCGTAGACAGATTGAAAAGAACCAAGAGGAGTGGAGACATCTTGCCATGGTCCTTGACAGATTGTTTTTCTGGATCTTTGTGGCGATAATTGTGATTTCTACTCTCGTTGTACTCGGTAGAATCTACCACTAGAATGAATAGTGTAGTGAAGAAAACTTTTCTAACAGTAAGACGACAACTACACCTCGCTAATGAGGAAGATGATTCGAGCAGGTCTAGCTAATGGTATAATAAGTACATTTAGGGAAGCCAATGCATAAAGGCAAGCCTAAAAGCAGAGCTCCCGTGGCCGTTCACGAAGAAACAGATTTTTTTAGGAAAATAATTCGAATGCAAACTAGTCATCAACAAAATCGCACACCCGTAGACGTTTATTTTGTAAATTATTACGTGTATCTCTCGCTGGCTTTAAGCGTGTGTCGTCAAGGTGTATGATTTTCGCTTTCTACGAGCGTGCTGTTAACTTTTGGTAAGTTAGGTAAAGACGTAAGGTCAGGTAAGAAAGTTGTCCGTGAAATGCACTAGTGTTTCACCTTCCTCGTGTAACCCATACCAGTCTCGGATTACTTCGCCCTTCTTAAGCGCCAACATTTACAAGCTTGATGACTCTCATGCGCTGTCAACGTAAGGCTGATGGTTCTTAGATTGACAAGAAAATTTCATATTCTTTTCTCTTATTATGTAATGACACTGTTATGAGAAAGTTGACGTTGGTCATCAAGGCCTTTTGATCACTCTATATCTTCCTTGTGACTGTTATCTAATTTCAGATTCATGCCTCTCTCTCGCGAGCTACATTAGTTGCGAGAAACAAAAGGCACTAGTTTCTAGCATGATGACAGAAATGGTATCTTACCTCGGTAAAACTTTGTTGAAAGCGTACTGACACATGTTACTACGTCCACTTGTGACGTTTTACCAAGAAACAGACAAGACACTACTGGATTTGCAGAGGGACTAGTGAAACGCATATTTTTATAACCAAAAACGCTTATTTATATCATTGTTTTATCTATTTCGAAGTCAAGCACAACACACAAATAAAACACATTATCCAGTTTCATACATTACGCCTGATGCACAATCACTGAGCGCATATTCTAGTGATAGATAAGGCCTCAAGCCCTGCAGTTTACGGTGTGTAATATGCGCAAGCCTGTTTGGAAACGAGTAGGTGAACGGAAGTTGCGTAAGCACGTTTAGGCTAGGATCACGAGTTTTGCAACCGGAGACGTTTTGAGATGAGACAATAGGTTTGTGTGTGTGAGAGATAGAACAAATATTAGCGACGCGTTGGAAAACC